TGTCTACAAAAAAGCTTGATTTAATGTAGACAGCCATACATAGTAATATTGTAATTGTAGTTGCAAATTTTAATTACTAGTATAAAATTTTTCTTAAATATTTATTTTTATTTTACAGTGAGATACTACATTAGTAATGTTTATATTTGTATTTGGTTATAATAATGATAATATTTATTATTATTATTATTGTTAACTTTTGATTAAATTATTAAATGATTATTATTTTATTTAGGTATTCAGTATTTTTTTATATTTTTATTTGGAAATAATAATAATAGTAGTAGTATTACTACACAGGAAATAAACAAAAACTATTCACTGCTGTATTTAGATTCATTTTATAGACTGAAATTATTATTATTTTTTTTGTTTATTTATAATAAAAATGGCATCAACTTAGTCTGAGTTGAGCCCACCCAGGATATTTAATTTATTAATATTAGATAACTCTCTCTCTCTCTCTCTCTCTCTATATATATATATTAGTGCTGTCAATCGATTAAAAAAAATGAACTAATTAATCGCACATTCCCACCTAACATTAAAGTTTTTAAATATACTTTTATATTGCAATAATTTCACATTCAATCTTCAAATTTATGTACAAACAACATAAAGACAGTATATTTTTTAATATTTAATGGCATCTTTTTTTATGACTGAAGGCCAGAATCAATGATACCAATACTGATTTCTGTATAAAATTGCCCCCCCACAAAATTTAACCATTGACTATTGCATTTCAGCATTACAGTATAATTGAGAGCTATCAAATAAACATAAAGACAGTATATTTTGAATATTTGTTTAATGGCATATTTTTTATGACTGAAAACCAGTATCACTGATACAATACTACTGATATCTCTATAAAATTGTTTTTCCTCGTAATATTTAAACTTTGACTAGCCATTCAACATTACAGTATAATTAAGAGCTATCAATTTTAACATTTATTAGACTTTAAAAAATAACTTCTAATTTAAGTGAACTTAAAACAATCTTCACATAAACCCATTATAATAAATATCATATTCACCTCTGCCCTTCAGCAGAAATAGAAATTGAAGTTATCAAACAAAAATTTCTAAATTAAATATAGATGAATCCTTAAAGCTACAAAAGCTATTTTTTCCCTCTTTTTTTCTTTGTCCTTTGATTAATAGACATCACAGCAGCTGGTTATTAGGTTATTCTGGCTGTTATTTCTTTAAGAGCTGCCGCTGCTAAACGTGACAAGGATCTGACACGCATGCATTTCTCTCAACTCTTTTTACCTTTTCTGACCCACTTCAGGTCTTAAAGTCTCTATTAATGAGCTGACGAGTTAAATCGGGTGTGTTAGGTGAGGGAGACAGTGCTGGGCTGCTCCAGGACAGATTTGAAAACCATTTCAGAAACATGTTCTTAAATGTGACTCATGTAAAATATATTACATGCATGCACAGTTTTAAGGCAGCTTTAATCGCCTTTTTGGTAACTTCAAGACATAACTGACCACGACATTGCATGCACGTAGTTTATTTCGCACTTTGATATGAAAGGATACAGGCTACAGCGCGCGCCGGCGCCTTTGTGCATGCAACTGAAGAGCATGCGCTGCGAGCACAGTACCGTTTCCGCGCTCGCTTGACTCGCGCCTGGCACTGAAGAACGTCTCCCGTTCTCAGTCGTATTATTATTCAGTTATTCAGTTCTGCGACTGAATAAATGCTCTTCTTGTCAAGAGAAAAAGTGACAGAAGCAGCAGT